CAAGTCATGATAAAAGAGCTCAAAGACTTGTAGAAGCAAGATAAAATGCCATGGTTGCTTCAGCAAATAAGTTTTTTTCCAAATTTGCTTTTGTTAATACGATTGGTTAGGTTTAGGGTATTATTTTGATGCGTCTCAAAAAATGCAAGTAACGTAATATATTGCAGTAATGTCGTTAGGCATGTTTCCCAATCAGCCTGGGTTGCAAAAAAAGCTCTCAATCTCACAGACTGAATACTTTTTACATTTGTCGTATGCATTCATTTTCCATCTATCGATGAGCACACAGGCCACAGCCACCCATAGCATGGTCCCATGTCAGATAAAACCAGGGGTGCAGCACACAGGAGCTCAGTGGGAATCCTGACAATCTGGAGGCGCGACAGGGGACGCTCATTGGGAAGAGGGATTATACACAAGCCCTTGGCAAGCTGGCCCCTCCAGACAAGGTGGTCTTAAAAGGGCAGTGTTTGTCTAGAAGCTAGAACCCAGTTAGACTTCAACTATCTGACTGTATAGATTGCAATTGTTCTGTATGATGTTACTGTTCAGATGGTCAGGCAGCCACTTAGATTGTAACCCCCTGGGGGAGTCTCCAAGATTAACCAAAAAAATGCATAGTGCGATAGTACTGGAGAGGAGACAAGAGGCTTTTTTTTTGGTATGGATGTCAGTGGAGGAAATAGCTTATCGCTAAATGAACTGATATCCTGTCTACTAATCTGCAATGTGTTTTCGATTAAGTCTTAATTTCAGAGTGATTTATATTTGTAGTTTACAACAAAATAATTGCTGCAACAGGCATTCCATTTACGGTAGGCTACTACTTAATTTTTATGGTATTGACTTTTCCAAAAACAATTTGATGACCTCATTGGCTAAAATGTGATTGGGTTATTAATAATCTTGTTACATGTTTACTAGAAATGGAGTCACTGATGATCCTTAACACGTATTACTAACAAACAAACTAAACTTCTGGTTTACTTTTTATGGAGAAATTGTTTACAATGTAATGCCTCTACTATACATCCTAAGATATTATGGACCTTGAGTTTTCTTCAGGGAAAAAGGAAGATAATTATTTCTTGACTTGTCTTATCCGGAATCTGTTTCAACCTGATGTTTCAATTGATTTCTTTTAAATAAATAAAAAATATTAATAAAAAAATCTAAGCCACATAGGTTATCTTCTTTCTTAAAATATATTCAATATTATATGTTAATATATATATATATACCACTGGTCTCATGACAACTCACTCAAATTGGCAAAATCTCATCCCTGACAATAATATAAATTCAAGATCTTAAAAAACTTAGAAGTAGAAAACCATTTGCAATGACAATTAATATTGCACTATTTTTTTGTTGTTGCAAGAAATGTAATTATTTTGGAGCTGAGTGCACATTGTTTTAACTACACTATCATATTATGATAGCAAGACGACGAGTCTTTGTATACAGGGGAGAACAATTTCTGCATTTTTACACAAATGAGAATCAAAGAAATATCATATCACTATCATCACACCAAACAAATTATGTCCAAAGACCATATCCATCATAGGTTTCCCCATCCAGTTTATAACGCCAGGTTTAAGTAATCCAATTAACTTTGTGACACTGGTTTATCTCCTATGCACTCAGCAGGCTGCATGCTAGCAGCTGGATGCTGGGTTCAGAGCAAATAAGAAATGTTTGAAATTGCTACCAATTTTCTGATATTTAAGTGTCTGTTTTGGGGGTGGGCGGTCTGTACATTGGGGAACAAATCATTTTGCCTTATTTTTTTTTAGCTTTGTGCTGAAAGTTAACAGTCAAGGATTCTGCACACATTCTGTTTGATACATTCTCTATTACTGAACGCGCCTCACCCCCAAAAGGTCATCTAAAATGTATCTATCCACTTTGCGTACCATGTGAATAGAAACAACCAAAAGGTTACAAGGTTGGATTTTCTTTCATATTGATTTTATTGATTCAAAGGTAAAAACTAATTAACCTTCGGTGAGTTTTCTAGGAATGCAACACACTTTAGATTGAATGATTTTTTCCTGTGCCATTCAATTAGCCCAACTGAATTCCTGTCTTCAATCAATTAGCATAGTGCCACATGGTCATTTGTCATACAATTAAGACACTGGGTAGCAAGTCATCAATTCTGTTTTGAGGGAAGACCTTGTCAAACAAATTGGGAGGGGAAAGATACAAATACAAATCTAAATATATGCCATGCCCCTTTGAACCACTCTGTAGCTACTATTATAGGTAATCAAATAAGTTTATCATCCTAACACAATAAATATCTTTGGTTTTTGTTAGAAGCTGGAATAAAATAAATCCAATCATACAAATATTACACTGATTAAACATCTTTCAAAATATTCTGTAAACTAATCATTAATCTCCACGCAAACAGATTTTCCTACATTCCCGGCTGTAAGAGCGAGCATCTGGTTTCTTTCACTCTGTGCCAAATGCAGTGTGTTCATGTGGATGCTGCTACAGTAGTCCAGGGCTGTCGCGGAGGCATTCCCAGCAGCCAGTTGGGCCACGCTCACACAGCTTGTACAGCATGAGCCCAAACGGGCAGCACCAACAGCGCCCTGGCACTGCTCCCGGGCATGTCAGCCCACTGTTTCACCAGCCCTCACACTGACTTTTCACTGCAGCCACGGACCTCAAACACCTGTCAAAAGAGCGGAAAGAGTCAAACAAGCAGGTAAAACTCCACCAGGAGCCATTTAAAAGTCAATTCAGAGCAGTAGCCTTGTTCAGTTCAGTTCTTTTCTAGGGTTCAGTCCCATCAGAGTGAATTAAAGGGATTCTGATTTGGGGTCAGAGACTGAGTGGTTGTGATACACCAGGTCTAACAGCCCTTTAGGTTTGAAATTACTATTACTGGCTTTATGAATTAAAGCTGGCAAATTATTATCTGAATTGGTATAAACACAAGTTAGTGTGGATAGTGTTTTTGATTTATAATTATAGTGTTTACATATTTCATATTGGACATTTCTCAATATTAAGGTTACTTTTTTTCAAAACTGGTGTATATGTAAAATCTTTCTCAATTGAATTTATTCAAATTTTGTTTTTATGAGTGTTCTTTTTGTTCACTATATCTTTTGATTTCATGTACTCATAGTTCATATATTAATTGTTCAAATATCCTATTAAGACATCTATTTAACCTTTGTCCTGAAGATGTTATCAAAGGCATGGTTTTTTTTAGTACCACATCTCCAAAATTTGAGACATACTATCTTCTATGTTGATCCTTCTTAATCCTACAAGGTATAGTATCCCATCTCATGTCAAATGTGTTTGCATAATTCATTGTCTTTGGAATCAAGATACAAAGAGAAATACCAAGAATTTTAATAAGTACTTTCCCTAGTCCCTTCCTGTTATAAGTACATCATATAAAATGTTTGGTTTCAGAAGACTCTGGGCTTCTATTTTGTCTCTCTCTTTTCATTCTGCAAACATCTGACTTTTCTTTCTCTATATTCTTATCTTCACAAACTTCATCTGTTAGATACACTACTTTGGGTTTGATTATTATATAGATAGAAAAATAATGATATCTTGAAACTTATATGTCGTTACAATTTTAATACTTGATTCATTGGTTGTCCTTATAATTGTACATTTTATTTAATACAATTTGTTATTCCTTATTGAAAATATGATCTCTGACAATCATTGCTCATCTGCCTGGATCTCACTGCATCAAAAACTCAGTTCTCTTAACCAGCTTTCATCTTGGCACAGCAGTTAATTTCACACTCAAAATGCACTAAAACTGCCAAAACACTTCATACATGTCTCAAATCAGCTCATTCTTCCATAACACTAGCAAAGGTCATCACCCCCAAAAAGCGTTATCACTTATAAAACGATGACTTAAAAGCACTAACAACAGGCAGCATTCATTTATTGGGAAATGTCTTTACTAGACAAGTATGACACCTTTCTACTGTTTAAAATTCACTTCAGTATGTTACATGACAGTACAGAATTATTTCTAAGTTGTGCCCTTTTGTATAGATGGTAATGAAATGTTAAGACAAACACCAGAGTAGGTGTTCAGCTAGGCCTATCTATTTGTTCTATCTATTTAGTGCTTTTTTTTTTATTTGCAATATATATCAATATGGTATTGCTGCAGAAATGTAGCAAATGACACTGCTATTCAGTTTCAGTCCTAGTGATTCCAAAAGCAAACTAGCAAAGGATAACAGTACTTTATTGATATGTTGTAAATTTTCAAAATAATTGATTGACAGTTCAACATTCTCAGTAATTTGAATAATGAAGACAAAATAAAATGTACTTAGTCAAGTGTGACTCACAATTTCTGTGCCACTAGCGTAACCAACGGAAAAATCCTAACTACTGATCCCAACAGGTTTCTAAAACACTATGCCCCGCCCACCTGCCTGCTATTGGCTGTACAAACTCACAGCCATTGTTACATTGGGCTGGGTCCAGATGCTGAAGCAAATGAAGCAGCAGCAATGTTTGAAAAACACCAATGTTTCCCATGTATGCCACAGAATTTTCTACTGATATTCTCTGCAGATAAAATATTTAAACACTGAAATTAAACTTACACATCTTACTTTTAAAAGCTTTTAAAATAAAAGACTTCCTGAAACACTTACCTTCTCATTATCTGATTAACTATGCATGTGGTGCTGATAAGCAGCAGACTCTTAATGGCTCAAATGGGGGGAAATGACCGATTACACAAACACCTGCTGCCAATCAACACTTCAGGATATATGATTAAAGTAAAATCAAACAATAGTTATTTCTTGTCAATGCCTTTAATTTCATTCCCTCTTACCAGCCAGATTTCAAAGATTCACAGTACTCCCACAGTGCATTATAAGTCCACAAAAAAATAATAATAATTTGCCTATTAATTGTTACAAATATACAATCAATAGTGTGAAACTAAAAAAAAAAAAAGTTTTATGGCCAAATACAAATGTATCATATACCTATTTATATAATAATTAAACAAAAATAATCAGTGAATACCCAACACTCCACATGAGTTTATATGCAAGCAAAAGCACCAAATACACTGGTGCATGGCCTGAATGAAAGAAAAACGAATAAACTTTATTGAAAGTCACCATCTCTTCACTTTGGAGTCTTCTTTCACCCTCCAAAGCATGAGCTCCATGCATGCAGTGGCATTCTCGCGTGTATCATGACCCGCCACTGTGGCAAATGAGAAATTTATTTTTTGTTTGTTTTCTTTTTAAGCAAGCAAGCATGTGCTGTTGAGTTGTATGCAAGTCATGTTTGTAGGTGTGCTCGATTTCCCTTCAATACTGACTCAATTACTTCTCCAGCAGCAATTTCATGGAAGAGTTATGAACACATCCGAATGATCCCCGTGTACACTATCCCTACTTCTGAGTGTTTGGATAATGTGCCATGAAACAACATACAGCTGGAGTCTAGTAAAAAGCTACGGTTTCTGATTCGGCGAGGTGTGATCATGGTCATTGCTTACAAATTTGTTTAACAGGCCAACATACCACTCTCTTGGATAATTCTCCGGATGTAGTCTGCAGTCAGACTGTTAAGTTCTCTTTTGTGTGGCAGACCCAGACGATGGGGAAACACCACTGACGTGTCAATCACATTGTTGTGAATAATCTGAAGATGGCAGAACAACCAAAATGTAATTCTTAAGAGGCTCAAACTCTTGAGGATAAAAGCCAATGCCTAGTTCATAATGTTGAAAGGTTACATTGTAATTCCAGTTATAAAAATGGCCCAAAAATCTTGAGCATGGCGTTAGAACTCACTTTGAGAGAAGCTAAGTCATTCTCCAAGCCATGGCCAATCAGAATCGTGTCCGCATTAATAAAGCTCAAAAGCACTGCTTGTACATCGCGCAAAGATGAGCTGGTACCTTTCACATCATCCTCACTGATGCCTGAGAATCTGAATCAGGATAAAAAGTTATGACTTACAACACATCAGTTGGTCCACTGAAACAAATTAAATTAACATCCCACCTGGTGTTATAGTCAATGACATCATTACCAGGCTTGACAAAGGAGTCAAAGATGACTTGCAAACTGCTGTTGACTACAGTCACTCTTGCTAGTTCCAGACCTTGAGTCGTGTAGCACTGGTAAAACACACAAGTTCAAATTAATAAAAGGTCACATTAATGTACCTCTGTTCTTTTTTGTTTAGTTTTATTCGAATTATGATTAATACATAACCCTTACTGTTTGTGTGTCAACAGCAAAGACTCCTGGACATGTTTTTCCCTCCGAAGATTGAGGGAGACTGCTAACAAAGCCCCAAAGACTTACTGCATCATGGACATGAAGCTGTAAACATGTACATTAGAAAATACAGTGGAGGTCTCAACTTAAGTGAAAAACTGGAAAAAAAAGGATTATTATGTTTGGTGAAAGACTGCAATATTGCCATTGAAATTTCAGTTCAAGGAATTATCATGGCATAAAGGAGTGGAGAAAAATGTTTTCAGCCCCTCCAACAAAGCATGAGTATGAGTAGAATTGTTGAATCATAATACATTGAACACTTGGCATCCAGGTGACCCAACTGCATTCTCACAACAACTGTAGCGTGTCTCAACACCTCCCGGCACTATGAGAGAAGACATACAGAGTAGATAATGGGTATTGATAGAAAAAAATATATATATATATATATACACAACTTTAGAGACATTCTAAGCCATTCGTACCTCGATTCTCTATGACTTTTCCATAATGGTAGTTACACTCCTCTCTGCGGATGTGCTTTCCACTTTTGTCAACAGAGAACGTCGCTCCACATCGACAGCAGATTCTCTTTAAAGCTGTTACCATTGTATTCCTAATTATTTAAAAGGCTTCAAATCCTAATAGCTTCATCAATATATTAAATATTGGTTGCAATTTAACATGATTGTAACACTAAAATAAAGTCCTACGGTGACTGGAAAGTCTACTCACGGTCGCTTATCCCCTTCTTGGTATCTCCATACTGGATGGCAAAGTCAGCTTTATCCTGATGTTTACGAGGGAAGTTGTTTACTTGCAACATGTCCTCAGACAGAACATGCTCCTTCAGTTGCTCATAAAGTGTCAAATCACCTGCATCAGCAAAACTTATATTTATGTATTTAATCATAATAACTACATCTGCAATGACAACACCTATATGTTTGGCACATACTGTACATATATATTTTTTGAAAGAAATGAATAGCAATGAATACATTTGATCGATAGCAAGGAAGCACTAAAGGAATCATAAATTTCCCCCTCCAGGATTCTTTGATGAATAGAATGTTGCATAAAAAGCAGCAGCACAACAATTTTCAACATTGATAAGACATTTTTTTTACTTGAGCACCAAATTAGCATATTAGAAAAAAATAAATCATGTGAAACTGAAGACTTGAGTAATGACTGCCAAGTTTCACAAAAAAAACAAAAAAAATTTTTTTTTGAACAAATACATAATGCATGCGTGTGCATAAGGGACTTCTATTGAAAACATTTTTAAAAATCTTACCCCAACACTTTTGAACGGTAGTGTATAGATAATAAAATATATGGACCCAGATAAATATTATTAACAACAGCACTACTACTAACAACGACTTGACACACACTATCAGTGTTTTGCATGGATTTAGAAAAAGTAAAAATCTAGTTTTAATTACTACTACATATAAACGTTACCATAAGAAGAAGATAGAGTACTGCCTACTGTGTATTTTAATCAACTACACCTATAATGAAATAAATAAATGCATAAATAAAATAATTATAGCGAAAGAGGTGAACACTCTAGATTGACCGTGAAACGAGAGCCAGCTCTTACCGGATCCCTGAAGTGCTTGAGTATTTAGTGGTACATTGCCTCTAGACACATGCTGATCTCTGTCACTGGGAGCTGTAAGTACATATAAGGAGGGTGACCTGATAGGAGTGTGCAGTGCAGTAAACAAAAGTGGCTGCAGTAATTTGAACAAAAGCACATCATGTATAAATACACCAAACCTACCTTTGGCAGGCAAGACGTTTTGGTTTTTAAGTCTCTTAAGTGCATTGACGGCTATGCTTAGATACTTGAGCTTATTGATACTGCGGTCATAAACTATTTTTTCTTCTGCCAGAGCCTAGAGCATTTAAATAGATATGTTGGGAAAAAGAAACACATTAAAAAACATAATCAGAGAATTAAATGAACAAGAATATGAGCTCTCAAACACAGACCTTCTCAAATGCATCTTGCACCGTCACAGATGATCTCAGGAACTCCTCCACAAAGAGATTCACATAACGTTGACGGACATCATGTGGTACCTTTGCCCCAACCTCGTGATGTACTTTTGCCTTTCTTTTGATGCCCATTGCCTACAAAATTCATGACATTTCCTATCACTTCATCTTAAAGTAGTAATAAAACTGAAGACAGATCTTTTTGATTGTAGATTAAAACAGATAGGGTGCAATATCATTGCATGCCAACTTTAACCCCACAAATAGACTACAAAAGAAAAAATAGCCAATAGAAAAGGGTAAAAAAATTAAAAACACTGACAGACTAGTAGAGTAAAGTGCAAAGCAAACCTTAGCTGGTGTGTAGTTGGCTGGTTGTGGAGGATGTGGAGTTTGTGAAAACTGAACAGATGGGCAAGGCTGAGGTGTCCGTTGGACGGACATTGTGGTTGGAATCAGTGTCAGAGGTAAAGCACAATTTCCTTCAGGTACGATGAAGTGCAGATTTGTCCCCAGCTGTACAGCAGCACCAACCGGAAAGATACCAAGACTATTAAAGGCTATTAAAAAAAACAGAAGTAAATGACAATTCCCTAAAATATGAATAACCAATCTTATAAAACAAACTGTACATGATGCTTACGGTTTTGCACGGTGCTTGAATGAATGACATTGGGTATATAAACTTTTTTTGGAGCACTACTTGTGACTTGGGACTGACACCCTTTTATGGCAGTAGTCAAAATGGCTGCTCTTCTTTGGCATAATTGAGTTCTGGAGGGAACGGTCAAATGGGAGCCTCCCTCTCGAAGAGGGACAATAATCTGTGCTTTGCTTTTACTTGTACTTGATGGCTGTTGAATAAAGAGGATTGATGAAGTCAGAAAAACACCTTTGTTGAACAAAAGAAAATAAATAAATAACACTGGTTTGGAACTACTTTGGAGAGCAAATAATTACTGATGGAATATTAGTTTGTTAAATTAAGTAAATGTTTTTCAAAGGAATACAATATGTACTTTCATATTACAAATAAGAGGATAAATCATCTCATACCTCAAACCTCGCCACATGTGCCACCCTTTTCTTCAGCACAGCTGTTGGATTGGACTTGATCTCAGTTTCTTGGCTCTCTAATACTTCTTCCTAAAAAACATGAGGCGTGTACACTACTGCTCAAAAGTTTGGTGTCAGTAAGATTTTTTTTTTTTTTTTTTTTTTTTTTTTTAATTAACACTTTTATTCAGCAAGGATGCATTCAATTGATCAAAAGTGACATTTACAACGTTACATAAGATTTACGTTTGAAATAAATGTGGTTCTTTTGAACTTAATTTGTTTCTAGATTCTTTGAAAATAAAGCAGCTTTTTTTCAACACTGATGATAAGAAATGTTTCTTAAAGGATCATGTAGCACTAAAGACTGGAGCAATGACAGCTGAAAATTCAGCTTTGCTATTACAGGAATAAATTGTTATTTTAAGTTGTAATAATATACTGTATTTTCACAATATACTTTTTTTACTGTATCATTTATCAAACATATGCAACTTTGGTAAGCATAAGAGACTTTGTCATGATCCCAAACTTTTGAACAGTTATGCTTATGGTCCCACACCAGTAGATCTAAATACAAAATTACATATTGGATGAATTTACTTACAGATGGATCACACTGAACAACAGGAGCTTCATTTTGGTTGGCTTCCATGAAGATTCTGTAGCACTCTTCCATTGGGTCAGTTTCTGAAAGATCTAGGTCTGAATACCTGAGCTCCTCATCAGAACTAGAGTCAACTACAATGGCTTCATTATTACTTCCTGTCATCGCTGCAGATGCAAAGGTCTGTGGAAGAAGAGGCATGTCACAGGGAACAGGGAATGATGCATCTGATGTAGGAAATCTTTCAAAGGCCACAGTTGGTTTCAGGGTGAGTTGACTAGTTGATGGTGCTGAAAGAGTTCTGGTGTCAATCTCTGAAACATATGCAGGTATGTTCTGAGCAAACGTATTGACGGGACTTTTTTGAATAGTTGGCCAAGATGTTTCAGCCAGGCTTTGAGAGAGTGGACCACATCCATGCTCTTCTACCTTATGTAAGGATGAAGGAAAGGACTGAGACGAGACCATGGGGAAGTACCGCTGATGTGCTTGCTCTTGGGAGAGGATCTTAGAAGATACAATTTCTGACTTTTGAGTATAACTTGAGATGCAGTCAATTTGTGGTTCTGCCCTAAAAGTTGAATTTTGTCCTACACTCGCAGGAGATTGTGAGGAAATATCTTCATCTCCATAAACAGGAAAAATCGTAACATCTTGAATGCATTTGATCCGCTCACTCTCACTTCTCAGATTGTCTAGACACGTGGAAATGTCATCCAGGACGTTTTGCTCTTTTTGTGTAACAAAAGCTTCCATTTTGAGATTTGTAAAGTTAATTGGTTCAGTCACAGGTTCTTCTCTTAGATCCTCCAGAAAAGGTTTGGTTTCTTTTACAGAGTGCTTTGCAATTGTTACCTGTTTATTTAAGGGCCCTTCATTAGCCTCATTACCATCCTCAGCTGGGGCATTGCTAATAGGACATACTTTGGGTGAGTCAAGTAGTTCCTTGGTTATAGTTCCACACTGCTTTGAAAGCTTGTGTTCATCTTCAATAGGTGACACATCAATGACAAGTTCCCCCTCAGAAGACTCTTGTTCCTGAGTTATCACAGGTTTCGCCGAGGTCCTTTCTTTCTCCTGGCCACTAACAATATGTTTAATTTCATGACTTGGAATTCCATCAGAAGAAACCTTTTCTTTGTGCTGCCTGGGTTTTGTTTGGCCATTATTAGCTGCACAATTCCCCTCAAGTGAATACAGTGGTTTAATCATTGTACTCTTGCCTTTCTGTTTGGGCCTACGTTTTCCCTGATTATTTGATGGTGGAATATCAATGACCAAGGTACCTTCATCATCAGAGTTGTCAAAATGAGAGGACATATGCTGAACATTTTTTCCTGTTCGGTCATTCTTCAGGCAATGTTCAATATCCACTTTATCAGTTGACTTTAACTTACAGTCTACCGAGCTGCTGGATAGCAAGTCTGCAGAGAAATTGGAACAAGGGTCATATTCCAAATCAGTCTTGGGTCTGGCACGATCAACCACATACTTACAACCACTGTTTGAGGAAACAGACTTTTTGTATTTCAAATGGTTTCCATTCTGATCTTTAGCCTGATTGTTGGTGGTTCTTAAATATTTCTCAGAGCGAAGACCTGCATTATCTGTCTGTGTGAGGGTGTGCGATGTCTGATACTGTGACAGTCTTTTTTGTTCTTTTTCCACCTCACTCCTTACTGCCTCTATTTCTTTGTTGATCCTCTCCAGTTCCTCAAGACAAGCATAATTGTCCTCAGTGGTGTGAGAAGCTCCATTGGTAAGAGTCACTTTGGGATCTGCAAGATATAAATGTGAAGTAGAGGATAAAAACACAAAAAACAAACCAAAAAAAAAAAAAAGATTAGAAGTGCACAATTGTTACACAGATGTTTTTCCACCAATCAGCTATTTGTCTCTGCCGTAATGGTAGAGCAATGAACAAATGTGTTGGGAAATTTAGGTAAGAAAAACATTTTAATGAGAGGGGAAACCAATTGAGAAAAAAATCTAATTTTATTAAAATGTCAGTTTAATAAAATGAAGTGAGAATCAACTGTGAATATATGCAGGTAGACCTTATAGATCAACATATAGGCCTAATAAACCTAGTTAATCCCATTAACTTATTTAGTTATTTTTAAGAACCAGTTAAAATGATTCAGCAATTCTTGGGCATGATGATGCAGTTACATTATTTACATGATTTACAATTAATACAAATCTAATAGTTATTAAAAACCAACTTTGATTCCAGCATATTGTTGATAAAACCGTCACCAAGTAGCCAATATAAAGGGATAGTTGAGCCAAAAATGAAAATCTGTCATTATTTACTCATCCTCAAATTGTTCCAAACCTGTATGAATTTCTTTCTTCTGCTGAACACAAAAGATTATATATTTTTTAAAGTCAGAAACCGAACAGTTGATGAGCCCCAATGACTTCCAAAGTATTTTTTTGGTACCTTTTTTTTTTGTGTGTTCACCAGAAGTAAACAATTCATACAAGGAACGAACAACTTGAGGGTGAGTAAATGACAGAATTTTCATTTTAGGGTGAACTATCCCTTTAAGGCAACTTTCGCCTCATCATGATAACGCAAACCGAATCGGAGATGTCCGTTTCAACAGTTTAAATTTCAATGAGTCGGTTCTCGAGTCAACAAGCACCGCAGTGACCGCACCAATTCAGATCGTAACTTTGGGAACCAGACCCACAGATTCAAAGATCCATTTAAAGGATATGACTTAACGCAGCCCACATGTGTCAACAGTGCGTAGTGCATACTACAGTTTCCAGACCTTAATTTAAAATATGAATCATACCTGTTGAAGTCATCACCCCAGACGAATTGTCGTTGCCGTGATTGTACACACAATAAGGCCGCTTGCATCGTCCCCATCGAAAAAGGGGACAATCTATTTCATCGAAGAGAGATGTGGAAGGAAACATACAGCTGTCCGAACGCAAAAGAACAGCCCACCAGATTATTCTGTGCACTGTTAATTGTTAATATAACGCAATTTATCTATCTCCTGTGGGGTTAAGCATCTGTGACACGGCAAGATTTGACAACATTTTTTTCTGAAAAGGTTTTTGAGAAGATGAAAAGGGAAAAAGTCAGTATGAGAACGAAGCGATCTGCTCTTAACAAAAGTAAGTATGTAACGCTTGTGAAATTGGGAAGGACTTTGGCTACGTCACCGCCTGGTAGCTGCGAGTGTTTTAATGAACTCATCTCCAGACTCCAGGTGTGGCTGATTGATTTGCTTTGTGACGATGAAGGAACCGTTCTTTTGAGGCTATCCTTCAATTAATCGTTTTTACTCACTGAAATTGGCTCACAATTTACTTTTGTGGGACTGTACTGTATGTAATTTATTGTAAAACAAAACACTCAACAACGAAATTCTCTTGGGAGCCAATTGCTCAAAAATGCTAATTGTTTTCAAATTAGGCTAAGTCTATTTAAATTTCAGTCAATTCAACAGCACAACAGGCCTAATAAAGACTGTATAGGGTGAAGTCATCTAAAATGGGCCACATAATGACTTAATGCCATCAAATAAGCTATGCATGTTGAGATCTAATGATATTTTTTATAAATTAGCATGGGTCTCTTAGCTCTAATCTTATGAGAGTATCAGCAGGTACCTTCTGCCACGACACAACATTCAGGTAAAATGGGCCAGCTTGTTCAGTTAAGAAAGGTGTAAGGAGTTTTTATTTGTGTGTTTGTTCCTCTATTCATACCCACTCTTTCATATAACGTTCAATGCAGCAAGGGAGACGGATGGCACACGACTCTTGGTGTCTTTTTTTTCCTGTCTTAACACAAGTACTAAGGCCGTTGGCCTCTTTGACAGGCTAGCTGCCACTATCCTGTCTTTTGTTTAAATTTAAAATTTCTGTAAATCTATGATGTTATTACATTGTGCTCAAGAGGGACTGTTGGTCTCACAGACAGCCAGCAGCTGAATTCACTTTGGCTGGCAAAGCGAGCAATTAGACCTGGGATTAAAAAGGATTGAATTTAGAGGCCTGAGGAGAATTTTCCTGCCATCTCGAGACACTCCATTACCATCAAGAAACCAAGCCATGCTGAGTTACTGCTTGAGGGTAGACAGAAAAAAAAGCCACTCGGCACTGCCAGAAAATACATTTGTATGTAAAGAGCTTGATTTTGACGTCAACATTGTGGAGGCAATATAACCAGTGGGACCGTAGTGATCAAACCTTGATTTTGGGACGCGAACATTTAAGGCAGCCTGCCTTTCACCAAGTTATTCAAAGGAATTCATCTCTACTCGATACCATAATTCAGTTATCATTCAATAATTATTCACTGAAATATATTACCACAGGTCAATTGAGTTCCTCTCATTTTTGAAGCAGAAATCTTCTTTTCAAAAAAGCGGTAGGGAGCTGTCCATTTGCACGCACAAAACAATATCTGTAATATTATATTGTTCATTTGCCATTCCATAAATAAAAAATAAAATAAAAAAAAAACCTTAGTCTTAAAGGGATATTTCACCCAAAAATTAAACTGTCATCATTTACTCATGCTCATATCATTTTAAACCTGCATGCATTTCCTTCATCTGTAGAACACTTTTTTTTTTTTTGTCCAAATTGTTGTTTTGGACCCCATTGACTTTCATTCTAAGTTTAAACATCCTTCAAAATTTTCTTTTGTGTTCCACAGAAAAGAAAAGAAAGTCTAGCTTGGAATGACAGGTTTGGAATTTTCCTTTTTGGGTAAACTATCACTTTGAGGTAAACCGTAAATATAATACTTAGGCTATTCTACAACAATACAGAGCACCCTTTAGATTAGAATGATACTGTAATTTGCAGATATGGCCACAGGAAATACAAAAGGTTTATCGCAACAGGGCTGAAATCACTTCAGTTGCAGTTGAAAGGACTGCTCTAGTCTAGTGTGCCAACAGGAGTTTGTATTCCACACTTCCAGTCTTGACCCATTAGTTTGTCACTCATAGGATCGTTTTGCAGAAACCGAGCTCACAGCCCTGAAGGAAATGCCTTATACTCTCATCAGTCACTGAGACGGCAAGGCAGCCAGCTGTGCACATGTGTGTGGATGTTAGGGAGGCTAATAGCACAAATGCATCAGACAGAGACTGCGACTGGCGAAACTACAAACAACTGTTGCTTTATAGGTGGATTACTAAGATTACATTTCTTTTAAATGGGGCTGAAATAGCATGCCATTGTTGAGTTTGTTATTCTTTTTAATTTGGATGCAAACGTTATCTCAGTATGCTTGGCTGTGAATGCCTTCACAAAATGTGCCTTTATGACATTTATTTTTCCCTATTAATTTATTCAAAAATACATTAAAACTACAAGTCAGACTCACTGTAAACCCTAACGCTCAAAATACTTAATTGGTTTGAGTAGGAAAAACTTAAATTAAACTAATTAGTTCAGTCAAATTAACTTTTTATGAGTATTTAGCACTTTCTTTTTCTTTCAAGTTCACAGAATGGATATATTTTAAGTAAACTGAACTGTTTCATTGTTTTGAGTTTTATGAAATTATTTCTTTTAATTTAGACGAACTTAAGTTTAACTGAAACGGCTGGGATGTATATTTCCCAGCATGCTTTGCCGATGGCACTCGAAAGGGAGAGTAAATGCTAAAATTAAGTGTAATACAATGTTTTTTTGTGCAAGATTAATGTTAAGCGGGTGATTTAGTAATGATTAATGTTTCGTTATGCTAATTTAGAAGAATTTCTGTTAATGTTGGTTTTAGGATAGTTACCATCATGGTGACAAGTGGTGCATGAGCTTGATTTGAGAGCAAATAAAACCTTTATATTGCTGCAAGTGTTACTGTATAGCATACTATTGTTAAGATGTTAACAAAATAGTATGTTACCAAACTAGCTTGTTAAAGCTAGCTAAGTTTATACTAATAAAAGTGTTCACATTGAGATTACATGAAATTTTAAGTTAAATGTATGAATTAGTGTACTCAAACATTTCAAGTTAAGAACAATTCAAATGTACAAATACAAAATAAAAATATGTCAGTTCTGCTTACTTAAACTTTGAATTTCTTAACTTAAAAAATTTGAGGCAACTGATTGCCTTAAATTTTTTGAGTTGTGCCAACTTATTCGGGTTTAGAGTGCTTTTTTATCTCTTTTATCACAAGCATTTTTAAAAGTCAATTATTAAAATGTATTTTGACAAAAAAAATTTAGGGGGCATAAAGCCCAACGTTATGGTTTGTTCTGATATCACAATGAAGAACACAATCCTCAAAAGAATGAAAATCTTTCAGAAAAAAAAAGATAATATTGTAACAAAACTGATTCACTGCTTTGTACTATTTGATAACTTCATGAAGTCATGATCAAGTCATGAAGTGTGATCAATTAAGTCATGTGATCCAATTAACAAACAGAGAAACAGAAGAATGTGTGTATATATATATATATATATATATCTTGAAAAACACTATAAGTGACAGTAAGGATTTTTACAATGTTACAAAGAAAATCTATTAAAAAAAGTTATTTATAAATGGTAATACTATTTTATAATATTACTGTATTTTTGATCAAACATGCAGCTTTGGTGGGCATGAGAGACTTATAAAAAAACAAACAAAAAAACAACACCACAAAACACCTGTGCAGAAGGCAGAACTTTTCCAAGCAGAGCCTCCAAGCACATATAAGAGACTTTGGGTCCTGCATGCGCTCACACAAAACCAATCTGTATAAATGTTAAATGTGTATGTAAGCACAGTTTAGGCTGCAACATGATATCATAGACTGAAGGTTTCCGCCAGACAAACCACAGTTCTGGACTCTGTGGGTACAGTGCAGACGCTCAGATCTAAAGTATCTCCGCTTACAGAGAAGGGCCAAAAGCTTTTATTCGTGATTGATGGAGAGGGCGGCCCTCAGGTCTTTGGAGTTCATCAGTATTCACAAAGCATTCCAGTCTGAGTCATAAGACAGAAGCACAAGGCATAATGACTAGAAAGCATGTGCACAGGAGGCAGAACGTGTATATATACGCAAACACTCACAGCTTGCAGGACAATAGCGATGAGATGAGGTCACATGAACTTGGGATTATTGAACAGAACAATGCTGGGTTACAACATGGCAGTGTTGTTCAACATGGCAGATTCTCGCAAGAATTTGTACATCTCAGTTGTGGTACAACATCAGGACAGGAATTAACAAGACTGGAATCACAGTCAGCATATTCTGAGTCTGTAAGGACTCGACAAGGCCAACGACACACTATTGTAGGTTGAGACAAACAGCAGTGGCATGCAGACGAGCTTATTTACATAATGGACAAAGATCTCTCCAGGTCTACAGGTCCATCTAGTGTCAGCCCAAGAGAACATCAACTACTGGAAAACATTCTACTGTATGAGCTCATTTAAATTCATGTACTGGAGCTCTGATGTAAGATCAGCAATATCTCTAGCTGACTTGCAGAGAATGTAATTGTAAAAATAACTCTGGCCTGCTTCTGGATGATTCAGAACAAGCACCCCAAGATTAATAAAAGGTGAACATCAGGGAAACATTTTACAGGGAAACAGTTTACATAGCAACTATGTACAGTTATAGGGCTTCTATTTAAATTTTCTACATAAATGTAAAACAATGTAGGCCTAGTATAGGAAAGGTCAAAGGTCTTTTTGATCGAGGGCATGCTTTTTTCCCCAAGAACAGATAGCTCCTAAGCTGCGATTGTCTTTTCTTCCGTGAAACGGCTTCTCAAAAAAAAAAAAAAAAAAAAAAAACCTTGGGTGGGACTTGATTTTGTCCTTCAGGAATTGATTGGATGGTTGTGGTTTGCTATTGTTGTGATGTCACGTGAGTGACAGGTTGCCCCGCCCTGATGCCAGTAAACACAGCGGAATTTATTTGGTTTAAAGATTACGAGGACACATAAATAATGTGCACGTATAAATTATTTATAATGCATACTGCAATATGCTACAAAAATAATAATCGTCTATTTTGATTTCATGGTGACTTTAAACATTTACTTTTCTGGAATGTATTGAACAGGAATGTTGCAAAGTCTTCTCATTTAAATAGGTGACCCGGATAACATTACCTATATGGCTATAATAGATTTTTAATGGTGAGAATTATATATAAAAACAAATATTAAACAAACAGTAGCCTAATGTATTTAACCAAATGCCATTTACCAACAAGTGTTTATATATATAGCTTTTCAGAATAAAAAATAAAAAAAACATTTATTTTACAAAAATCTAAAAGATTTGTATATTTTTTTATAATATAATTATTACTGTATTAAGAAAAATCTTTTTCTAATAATTGTATTTTATGCGATCAGTGTAAATGATTGCAGGCAAGTAAAAATCAAATAAAAATTCACTTCCAAATGTCGCAAATGGGTCAGAAGAAAATACTCTTTTATTGTTGAGTGCTGTAAAAGTAACAGATTTCAGGTCATAGGGAGTAATAATTCTTAATCATTTCATTTCTTTTGCTTTAAATACAATTTCCCCACCTTTGCGAGATAACCATTGTTCATTGTCAGTGTATTATCTCGCCTACAATAATTATCAAATGTCATCAGTTATTAAAATCCTTTAAAAACCAGGTGAAACACAATAATTAGAAATCAAAGGTTGCAAGACTCAATCATTTCCTTTCCAATACACCTCGTCTTATAGTTTTCACACGGATGGGCCTTCCATTACATTGTGGTGGAGAAGACTTTCAGAAGGAGGTCAGCAGCAAGACCGGGTGAGATATCTCCACACGTGACCCTTCGTTCTAGCTCCGGGAGCTCGGCACGCACCGCTGAATGCTGCTGGAAGTGGCGTAGAGCGTTCTCCTGAATCAGATTCCACAACCACACCTTCTGCTGAGTTTGCCGTCGGGCTCGGAGCTCCCCGCTGCTCAGCATTGCATCCCGGAACTGTAGCATGGTGTCCCACAGCTCAGGCACACCCTGCCCTGTCTGAGAAGATATGCGGACCACCTGACCACACATGGGAAAGAGAGAGTATAAAATGTGTTGGTGTGGTTAACTTTAGACTAAATGGAAAGATAAAAATAAAAAGCAGAGGAAGAAAGTGAGAGAACGGAAGCAGGCAGTTGCTTTACATATGAGCAGCCACAATGCAGAAATGTAAAGGGTGTTCGCCCACACACGTCACTCCATCCTTGTTTCAGTGAAAGACCTATATACGACCTTTAGGAGGGTGGAAAAAATCAATATGACTGTCGCATCCCCTAGTACAGGGATGAAGTTTAGAAATCATGCTGCTCAGAGGAAACAAAGGCTTTAGCGGTTCTCATCCATGTGGGTGGCCTCTAATCAGTCAAATGCATGAGGCAGCATTTGGCCATTCAAAGGGCTGCCTATGCTGGCTCTGTGCCCTCTGGGTAGAAGTAATACTGGGGGTGAGGGGACAAAGAGGAAAGACTTGACAAGGCAGAGCAGAGCATGATGGGAAATGAAAACAGACTACTCCACTGGCCAGGGGTCTCATTTATAAAACTGTGCGTAGGATCCTTACTAAAAGTGTAGCCTACGTGCACCCGAAAGTCCCAAAAAAATTCAGACTTATAAAAAAACGTGCGTACGCCAGAACCTGCGCAGAATTCACTTTATAAATCCCAGTCAGCGGAAGATTGTGCGCATATGCGTCTCGACGCCTAGTTTACAACGCCTAGTTTTACTATGCATATCCTCATCTGCATATCATTTGTATATGATTCTTCTTCCACGTGATAACATGTTTAACGGTACAAGACATTAGGACAATATGAGATACGGATGTGCCGTCACATTACAGTAATAAAAATCATTTAGTAGCCTATCCTTGCCTTGTTTTTGAATAAATAAATCAAATAGTGTAAAATACATTTCAGAGAAAGTTTTTCTCAATCTTTTCCACTGGCCAAATAGTATTTTTAATTGATTTATACTTTTAACTGAGACAGATAGGCCTTGTTGTGCATTATTTCCACAAAACTATTTTCTCAGACAATCTGCTATTATCATGATAAGCAATTATCTCTGTGGTTAAAACATTAAAACACAGCATGCCACAGGAAAAGTGTTCAAAAGCATCGCATCCACAACAAATATTTCTATTTATTGAATTTTTTTTTTTGTAACTTCTCAGTAATGATTTCATGTAGTTTAAGTGTTTAACTCCATTAGAGAATGGCATATTTAATCATAAATGTAATATTAAATGTTTATATCAGAAGTAAAACATAGTTTAAATCATTCTTTTATTTATTTAAACTTTTATTGTGAACATGCACTGTATTTATGATTAGAACTCGTAATGAAGATTTACGGTTTTACTTAATCTGCCGTTAGATAGGCTATATATGCGTCAGTTTTACTAAACGGCCCAACCGCTCGCTGGCGCGGACATTTAAGAAGGGATGGATATTTGCTTCAACGTGATAGGCTTGGTGAGTGAAATTATATTTGTATTATCTTTCTGTATATGTATAATTTTCTTTAGATTTTCTGTCTAAAAATTACCAAAAAGAAATTTAACTCCAGCTCACCATCGGTGTCGCCAAACTGCTCCATCTCCAAAACGTTCGTACGCATGGGTTAGAGTTTGCATGCAGGTGCGCAAATTTTCCCGTCAAGTTTGTTTTTATAAATCACAACTTATGTGTCGGAAGTGGCGTACGCCTCTTTCAGGGCCTGCTTTGTGCGTACGCAACGGTTATAAATGATGATAACCGTTTCTCTTTATCTTCATTCTCTTTTGAACAGAGAATGAAGATATATAAATAAAATGCATTTACATGCGAGTCATTCTTATATGGGAGGGAGGTGAAGAAGGAAAAGTGATCAAATAAAGGCAGGGCTGTATACACTACTATTTAATAGTTTGGGGTCTGTAAGATTTTTAATGATTTTGAAAGAAGCCTCTTATGTTCACCAAAATCTGCAATTATTAGATTTAAATACAGTTAAAACACTAAAATTGTGAAATATTATAACATTTTAAAATAACTATTTTATTTTAATATATTTTAAAGTTTTATTTATTCTTGTGATGGCAAAGCTGAATTTTCAGCCTCATTACTCCAGACTTCAGTGTCACGTGATCCTTCAGAAATCATTCTAATATGATGATTTGTTGCTCAAGAAACATTTCTCATTGTTGACAAGAGTTTAATATAGTTGCTTAATATTTTTGTGGAAACCCTGATACCATTTTTTTTTTTTAATTGCTAATTTTTTACAAACGTAAGATACAAACACAGACAATCTTTCAGACAATAAACAAGTTATACTTCAATAGTTAACAAGAAAAATAATATAAAGACGCCTGGTTTATCTATTGAAAATTATTTGCCAAGAGAAAGAAAAAAAGAAGAAAAAAAGAAAAGCATATTATGAAAGAATATTAAACATGGTACAAATTCTAGATGTTTTTATAGCTTTCTTATTTACAGACGTTGAAATTGTATTTAAGTTCAACTTCAGTTCTTGTTTGAAGATGTCAAAGCGGGGTTTACTCTTTGCATATTTTAATTTATGGATATAAAACTTTCCAATAAATAAAAGGAGGTTAATATAAAAACCTAATTTGATTAGATTCTTGTCATTAATATACACCCCAAAAAGAATGTGTCTACAAGATAAAGAAAAAACCCTGATTCATTTTTTCAGGATTATTTAATGAATAGAAAGTTAAACAGTTTTTTATTTTTTAACTGAAATATTTAGCAACAAGGTAAAGGTTTTTACTGACACTTTTGATCAATTACATCCTTAATGAATTCAAGCATTATTATCATTATTATTGAGCCTGAAACTTTTGAACTGTAGAGTACATGTGAATTTTTCCAAATTTTTCCTTAATGCTGGCTGTTTATTCTGAAATTAACTAAAACAAATATTCGAAAAAATCTTTAATGGCCATTTTCTTTAAAGAGGAATTTCATTTCTTTTTTTAAATTTCTACTTTATTTTTGTGTAAAATTGCTGTTGAGCATGAAAAAGGTCTGTAAATTTACAAAGCACAAAGTCCACTTCAAATGGAGTTATTCTCTATACCAGTAAGCACATTTCTGAACTCCCTGACATGCCTTCATTGTAGTCTTAAGTTTTCTTCCGGGAACGTACACGTCATCAAATAAATAATTCCCACCCAAGGTATACGCAAAAAAAAAAGAAAAAAAGTGGAGAGGCCTGGTGGAGTTATGTTAGTAGTGTGTTGAAACTCGTTGTGGTAAGGGCCGTGACATTTCAGAAACACGCTCAAAGCGGTTGACCAATCACAACACACTGGTCCAGCCGACCAATAAGAGCACATTGCGCTTTTCGGAAGGAGGGGCTTCATAGAGATGGGAAATAAACAGAGTGTAACAGACTGGGAAGAGGGGTGCTGCAACAATGTAATGTGAAAACACTTTTATTTTTTGAACGTTCAAGCATTAAAAAAAAACTATTTTAGTATACACCAAAACCAAGACTTGCAGATATGATGGTCATCTTATATTTAATTACAATAAATTAATTACAATTGTTTTTGTTTTTTTTGTAGTATATACGCAAGATATGAATGCAAAGCATGATTATAAAGTCACACACCTTCGGTTTCCAGACTTTGGACTTCTTTCGAAGTAACTTCAGGGCACTTGTGTATTCTGCCTGTATTTTCCGTGCGGGAGCAACCAATTCACCATCTGATTTTGTAACCACCACCAAGTCAGCCATCTCAATAATTCCTCTTTTGATTCCCTTTTTGAAAATAGAATTTAATCAAATTTCTTTAAAATATAAGAATCGCCTATAATATAAAACAATCAGTTTAGATAACTCCGATAATGTTCAATGGCAGTGGTTCTCTAACTTTTTTGACTCCAATTCTTTTTATAAAATGCCAATTGAATTGAGTATTAAGATTTTATTAATTTAAAAGAAAAAACATTTTAGAATATTTACCCAGGTCTATAAATAACACTAAGAATGTATTAAAATGTAATTTAATAAAAAAAAAAATATATATATATATATATATTAACATTTAAAATGATGGCAAAAGGGATCAAGTAAAGGAAGTGTGTATACCTGTAGTTCATCGCCCCCTGCTGGTGGGATCAGCAGCACAAACATATCCACCATGTCAGCCACAGCAAACTCAGACTGACCAACACCTGTGTAAACATTTAAACTTAAGTTACATTGCATACACCATTGTTTTTAAGATTAGCTTTTCTCAAAACTGAAAATACCATGAAAACCTGGAACAAAGGCTTACCTACGGTCTCCACTAATACAATGTCATAGCCTGCACCCTCACAGAGGACTATGGCTTCGTTGGTGGTTCTCGTCACACCACCGAGGGTTCCTGATGTGGGAGATGGTCGGATGTAAGCGCTCATGTCTCTGGAGAGTTCTGTCATTCGTGTTTTGTCTCCCATCAGTGAACCTGCATTAAAGGTTAGCAAGGAATAGAATAAAAGTTTGGAAACATTACTATTTTTAATGTTTTTGAAGAAAGTCACTTATCTGCATTTATTAGATCAACATATAGAAAACAACATTAATATTGTGAAATATTATTACAATTTAAAATAAAGGTTTTCTATATTAATAGATTTTAAAATTTAATTTATTTCTGTGATGCAAAGCTGAATTTTAATCAGTCTTCAGTTATATGATCCTTCAGAAATCATTCTAATATGCTGTTTTGATACTCAGTTATTATCAATGTTGGAAACAGTTGTGCTGCTTAATATTTTTTTGGTACCTGTGATACTTTTTTTAGAATTCATTGATGGATAAAAAGTTAAAAAGAACATTGTTTATCCATAATATGATTTAAAAAAAATTAAAGAAAGAAAACAAATGACTGAACCCCAAACTTTTGAATGGTAGTGTATATTGTTAGAAAAGATTTCTATTTAAAATAAGTGCTGTTCTTTTTTACTCAAAGAATCCTGTCCAATATTTCCAACATTGATAATAAATCAGCATATTAGAATGATTACTGAAGGATCATGTGACACTGAAGACTGGTAGTTTAGTTTAGATACTTTACTTTGGTTTAAAAATATAACATTCAACTTTACTTTTTTTTAATTAATTTAATGCGATAATTAATTCATAAATAACAACTGTTTTCAACATTAACAATAATAAGAAGTATTTCTTGAGCACCAAATTAGCATAGAAAAATGATTTCTGAAGGATCATGTGACACTGAAGACTGGAGTAATGACTTCTGAAAATTCAGCTATGCCACCACAGGAATAAATTAAATAGAAAAAAGTTGTTTTACATTTTAAATTACTAAAGTGACTTAGAAATGTATGTACTGAGTTTGTGCAGATTAAACAAGCAAATATCTATAGCACCAATCGAAAACTGGCACCATCATCTGTAGGTAAATGTTTTTCAGACATGTGAGTGCCTGTTCACCTCCAGTTGTGCATGAGGAAGGATCCACAGCCAGAACGGACACTTTATGTTCTCTTCCTGTCAGCATCTTCCCAACAACCTCAATGAATGAAGATTTTCCAGCACCAGGGGGACCAGACAGTCCTGAAGTCACACGTACAGAGAGGTGATTGAGGATTGAGGGCATTCATGCAAACAGCAACACGGTTCATTTCACTCCTATAGTTCACATCACCTTACTGACCAACTCTGAAGGCCGCTGGCTTTCCACCATTGCATCTCTCCTGCTCCTGACGAAAGGCCAGCACTCTTTGAAGCAGAACCTGGGCTAACTCTTTCTTCCTCGGATGCTGGGTTTCTACAAGGGTTATCGATTCCGCGAGAGCTGCCCTTTGACCCCCGACAAGTCCATCATAAAGCTTGGTCAGTAGTCTTTTCTCCCTGTCAGTCAAGTTTGAAATGTGATGGCTTATGGCAGTCTCAGCTGAAACAGATCTCGTCTGTTGGAGGGTGCAGAGGGAGGCATAGCACAGTTTTGCAGTACGCTTACAAAGGGAATGTCTTAAAGCCATTGTACTGTGTATAGGAAAAAGAACAGCAGCACGATGAAGAATAGGAAAAACTCTAGTCGGACCCATCTTCCTTTTCCTGTTGAGTAGAACTCATTCTGTAAAAACAGCAAAGAATATCTATGTGAATAGCTTTCAAATGTAAACCTTACCTTTTTACAATTGGTGAACATTACAGACTTATTAAAATTTACCAGTCTATGCAAAATATAATTTCCATAAAAAATTCTTAAAAAATGAGAAATTCTTCTCTTGAAACTCTTAAAAAGGTTGTTTTATTTCTTCTTCTTTTTTTTCCAATAAATGGTCATTGAAAGGCAGTGTTTAACCTTAAACTAGCCTATATCATATGAGCTACTTTTATACACAGTAACATTGTAACCAAATATAGGAAATAGTTTAAAATACTTAATTGAATTATATTCTATTATCATTATTATTCTCTATCAATAAACAAAAAAAAAATACAATTATGGCAAACAACAGAATAGCAAATTTAGCCTAAATTAAGCAGTCACTCATTAGGCTAGTTTGGGACCAATGTTTACTGATCAATTTATACAGCATAAACTAAAGAGAAATGAGAAATGTAATAGTTACTATAGACAGTAAGCTTGCTATATTTGGTAGCCACCACAGATAACTAGTTAACGTTATACAGATTCAACAAAATGATATATTCTTAAAGCTTATGGCAATGTGGAAATGCAATAGCTCGTGATGATTTCACAGTGATAAGAAAAACTGTAGTAACCAAGATCATATAATGGTATATTTTATCGGAGCAGCTGATCTTCGTTAACTTATCCACTTACATAGATCACATCATTTCATAATACATTTCAAACCGATCATAGAAATCAGACAAGACAAAACTGACCATCTGGAATGGAAAACAGCATCGATCAAATCACCAAGTTTTCTGAAACCGTCTGTTTATCGTCATTTGGACAGATTGCTTACAAATGGTAATCTTTAGTCATGTATCTCGGTTTCCCAAAACCAGTTGACACTGAGGTCGTGTAAGTGAGGGACGTCAATGTTCTTTCAAATAAAAGTTTCCCTCTTCAAAATAAAAGTCCATATTCGCTTTGGAATAAAACGAGCCTAATAATATTCCCATCTTCTTTAAATAAACATAATGGATGATGATGTTGTCTTTGAAAAATTTGTGACATCAGTTGTAGTCAGCTGTGAGTTTTGTAATGGAAATGTGCGATTATGTTATTATTATTATTATTATTATTTTATCTGTGTTAGAATTATTAACCTCATCAACCCGACAAAAACTAGGTTGTAAAAGCCTTTTTTCGAGTTGTGAAAAGGTTATAATAATCTTTTAATCTGACGTATTTTTTTATATTTTTTTATTTAAATACATCAGATGCTCCAGAAAGTTACAAGCCAACATCATCAGTGGAAGGAGCATCAATAGTAGTTTGTGTAGGCTATGCTGCTGTGATGGTTCATATTGATTATACGACTCCTGTCTACCTCTCTACCTCTGCACAGAAAATTGTTTTTACAAAGAGTCAAATAAATGATCATGTCCCTGTGTTTCATAATAAACTGCAGGAGACACTTTATCAAATATCAGAAACTGCTACATAGCCTAACTGAGCTTGTATTGTGTAAACACTTCGATTCCATTTGAGCAATGCTGAAGGATCAGAGTCTGCATGATGTCAGCATACAGTGACACACATCTGACAAAAATGGTTTACAAACACTTTGTATTCGCTGTGATTTATTCAACAAGGAGCTCAGCTTACAATGTGAAAAAAGTATTTTAAGTGGTAAATAAGCAGTAGCCCATAAATGACTAAATTAAATCTTTATCTTTGCAGTGGGGGCAGGAAGGCAGAAAGGGCTGATGTTTTATATTTATTTAGTATTAGAACACATGGCCCTTAATTAAGTCTAATAACCAAATCATTCATTTTACTTAAAAACAAATCCTACATATCAATCCAATGATTGAATTGTCATATTTAAGAATGAACATAATGTAAAATAATATTAAAATAAATAATAATGTATGATCATTTGTCACATACAAACACATAGAACAACATTGTCTTGTTATAGTTTACGTTTTAGTTGAATTAGTTTGTAACTGCTTTTATTATTTAAGTCAGGCAATCCTACTGGGATCCTGCATCCATAAGATGTCTTCCGCCCTCACGTGGCCGTGAGAGGAAAAACGCAAACAATAATAATCTAATAATCTAATAATGTAACATTATCATGTACTTTTGAGGACTGTTAGACAAATAATATTCATTAAAATTTGAGAAACCCAGTAAGATAAATTATTTTTATGCTATATAGTCTAATTACAGATTGTCATGGACTCAAAATGACACCTATAATTAAATAGTTAAAGCTGCAGTCAGCAGTTTTTCCTCTTTGTCGCCATCTCTGTTCGAAATCTGCAATTGCAGTTATTCGTGGAATTATCAACTTTACGTGAGTTGTAGTTCGACACCCTCGGCATGGCACAGTGCGGATAAACACAATGTTTGAGGAGACTGTGAGGCTATCAGTCACCGCGCCGGTGTGGATACTGGCATTCAGAATCACAGATTATTCTTTTTGGAAGTATGACCAACATAATAAGACACGCAAAGACATGTGCTGCATCCCAATTCGCATATTATCCGTCCTAAATAGTATTTGAAAATAGAATTAGTACGTCCCAAATCGTAGTATGTTTAAATGAGTGTTCCAAAGAGACCCGGATGGTCTACTGTTTCCGGTCAGAATCCGAAGTGCAGATCGATGCACACTCTTAACGGCTGATATTGCCCACAACCCATCGCGCGTTGGACGAGTGAAAAGTGTTAAAAAACTACAGACATGGAGGATGCACGAGTCCGGTGGTTATGTAGAGAGGTTTAGATAAAGGGGTCGTTTGAGTGATTAATTATCAGTATCTAACCTGACGAAAATGTATTTATTCAATGTTGGCTACATTATATTGCATCATTGTGAACTTTTGTAAAGATAAGTTTAGCCATTAACTTTTAAATGCATCATTATATTGAAATTGCAAACACATGAGGAGAGTCTCCTCAAGAAAGACCCACGACTGGCAGGTGAACGTGCTACAACATTTCTCTCCGAAACGGTAAGAAATTATATTAGATTGAATGGAGGATTTTAATTGTGATTAGATGATTGACAGGGCAGTTTACGGTGACAGAAGCACGCGACAGAGCTGTCCGTTAAAGATGACGAAGTAGTATGTCCCAAAGCTTGCCTACTCTTTTGCTACACACTCAAAAGTATGTACTTTTTCTTCACAAAAAGAGTACATACTTTTAGGGCGTAGTATAAGTAGGCGAATTGGGATGCAGCCATGCTCGAATTTCCCGCGGAAATCCACCAGTACCACTGGAATTAAAAACATTATTACAAGCTTACCGCTTTGAATCGAGCTAAGGCAAGCAGATAGTTTTGAACACTGGCTGGTTATGTATTTTCTCAAATATGTATTTTGGATAATTTTTAACCCCCAAAAAGCTACGGACTGCAGCTTTAAATACTAATTAAATAGACAAAAATGTTTTAATTTTTGTTTTCATAAGCAGTGGTTTTGTTTGAAACACCAACGTGCTGTTGTAGCCTATGCAGCCTCAGTCGCGGGGGTCCCTGCCCATTCAGTGGTTGCTGTCTCAGCAGACTGGGTCATGGAGGCCTCAGAGATTACTGTTATGGCCCCAGAATAACTGGAGAAACTCCAGAAGGAAGCAGTTTTACTGAAAAGAAAAGATTTGTATCTTTGGCAGATCTCCAATAATGAAGACTCTTTTAATAATGATAAATTATTTGGGTAAAAATTACATTTTTGAAAGTATTAAAATGTTAATATAAAGCATAGTGAAATGATAAATGTCTTGTGTTATTTTATGACATAATAACATCATTGACATGCCATCAGGGTGTTTCCTAGCCTGGTAATACCAGACTCTGCTACTTCACTTTGCTTCGTAGACAGAGTCTGGAATGGCATAATAGAGAAGTGTTTTCTCTCTCGCTAGGGGGCGCTTGTCTGAAGTTTAAAATCATTGGTTACCCGTAAGCCAATCAGATAAGTTTATATATGACGTATGTTATGTGCCAACACAGCCGCATTGAACCACAGACATCATGCATCGAACTCAAATCTATGATCGAACTTCCACTGTAAACCTGCTGTAAACACTTGATGATGCGAGCGAAATACCGGAGTGATCATGTCTGTAAACGACTTTTGCAGATTATGCGAAGTTAATCTACGCATCCACGGTACAATCAGGGCCTCTAAACTGATATTTGACAGTAGAGAGAAACAAAAAAATATTTGCAGCCAACTGTCAAAGTTAGGATTAGTTCTGTTAAACACAGCTCTTTGTTCATCTCGAGTCTGTCGGAAATGCTGCAACTTAATTGCAAGATTACAGCATGTCATGCCAATATTTAAGACCTGGAAAAGAAATGAGACACTGACCTGTCAAAAGGCTCCCCAGTTTCTCGCTGACGATCGGTAATAGTTGATAAATGAAACTTTTCCCAAAGGGAGTAGGGCCACAACATCACCTCCATTCAAAATGTTTAATACACACTCTTCTTGTTCGGGCTTCAGTTTGCTAATGCCGGGAATATTCTCCACAACAGAGTGAATTGCATCCGCGTCTCCATATCCGCGGTCGTTTTCAATTTCCCTGACCTAATCTTAAACTCGGCGCTTAGCGACTACGTCACGGCTTTCAGCCCGCCCTCTGTTCGTTGATTGGCCCGGCTGTTTTCAGGTCGGAGGAAAACGGATAGATAGGCCGCTGTCTCAGACTGAGTACAGAAGCGAAATGAAATTGAGCGGAAGTACGAAGTCTGACGTAGTCAGGTTAGGTGTTTCCCCCTCCTTCAGCCCAAAACGCTGATATAAGCTCCAACATCCCCACGACAAACATGGGTTTTCAAACTTGTCCTGGAGCATCCCCAGCACTGCACATTTTGAATGTCTCCCTCATCTAACACACCTGATTCAACTCAGCTCATGAGTAGAGACTGCAAGACCAGCACTGCGTCCCAATTCGCCTACTTCTACTACGACCTAAAAGTATATACACTTTTTGTGAAGAAAAAGTATATACTTTTGAGTGTGTAGCAGAAGGCAAGTTCGACTTTGTCATAACTGTGTCTTTAATGGAAGCTCTGTCGCTTAGTTACGTTCATCCTGTCACCGTTTAAACTGCCATGTCAATCATCTTGTCACAGTTAAAATCCTCCACATTCAATTTAATTTAATTTAATACTGTATCGGAGAGAAATGTAGTAGCACGTTGATCTGCCAGTCGTGGGTCTTTCATGGGGAGAATGTGTTTGTAATTTGCATAAAAGTTAATGACCAAATGTTTCTTTACAAAAGTTCACAATGCTGTTGCAGATGAAATATTATGTGGATAACATTAAATAAATATCTTCTCGTCAGGTTATATACTGATTATTAATCACTCAAACCCTTTTATCTAACCTCTCTACTTAACCGTAAAAGGTTCAACCAGGCGCTCAGGTAAAGTTATAATGTCCGTGATAGGTGCTCTTGGGGTAGGGAAAAGATCCAAAGAAACGAAAAGCAGGTCCCAGGCACTCAGTCAAGTTTTCAATGAGGAGAAAGATAAAGTTACAAAGCCTTTATTTAGTATGGCTTAAATCATTTTAAAAGTACACGAGCCAGCATGTTTCGTCCAACAAGTGGTACTATTCGCACATTCGTCATGTTTGCAGTTTTATTTATTCGTGTTTGTAGTTCTAACTTAATCCTCGTCCAATGCGCAACGGGTTGTGGGCGATATTAGCAATTAGAGTGTATCTTTGGAATACTCATTTCAACATACTACTATTTGGGACACGTTAAAGAGTTAGTTCACCCAAAAATGAAAACTCTGTCATTAATTACTCACCCCCATGTCGTTCCAAACCCGTAAGACCTTCAT